ATAAATTATTAAACAATTAACATATTCAGTTACATAAAATCTGTCCTTAACTATGGAAATACCACTAGACCCACATCAAAACCTTGCCAAATAACACCAAATAGAATCTAAACAGTGCAAATCATTTTCCAATTCAAGGTCTTACTTAAATGTTATACAATTTAGATTATACAATTCAGAGGCTTTTTAAAACATGTCAAAAATGATATGAGCTCATGTTTCTTCTTTTGCACCTCTCTGGATCTCCTTATATAGAGATGACCCTCTTGCAGGCAACGCTCCCTTTAACATGGCAACCGCCTCTTGTCCTCTGTTCAGGTCTGCATAAAGAGATAGGGAAGGGAGCGAGGAAAAGATCTGGGTCTTCTGTTTTTTTCTTTTTTCTTTGCATAATTTCATCTATATTTTATTGTGTTGTGGTTTCCAGTGTTTTGTGTTGTTTCACTTTAAATTTGTTTAAAAGAAAAAGCTGAAAATTTAAAGAGTTCAAAAGTTTAACTGTAAATAGTTGTTTTTTGTATTTTATTATGTTATGTGGACTAAATAAATAAAAGCATATTTATATAATAAACATATATAAATAAATAAATAACATTTTTACATTAGTAATTCATTTTGTGCATAATATTATATTGTTGTTAATAATTAATTAATTAAAACAACAAAACAACCTGAAGAGCTGCTTGGGAGCCCTAAGAAGCCGACACTGTTACATCTGGGCCTTTTTAGAGAATCGGCTCACTAAAAAGAGCCGGAATTCCCATCGCTATATCTTACCTGCTAATTTTGTTTTCGGTTCCTGTTTCTATATACATATAATTTTTAGGCGTTCCCTTTCTTTTCAGAAGCTTGTCTCACTTTGTTTGGAAGTTCAGTGTTTCCCTTTTCCCACTCTAATCACACAATAACTACTTATTAAAAACTTATCTGGGAATAGGAAACATTAAATTGCAACAAGATCTTCAAGTTGAATTAAATTTGTTAACTGAGTAACAAGCAAAAAAAATAATTAAATCAATTAGTCACCTTCAGTATCGAAAATAGAATAAGTAGAATAAAGTCCCAAAGTAACTTGTGATTTAATTCACTACTTTAGTTTAATGGGCCACCACCACACACACAGACACACACACAAACCAACCCAGAATTGCCACGCCCGATATGGTTGCAGGCCTGTATCGCTGTGGTCGGGGGAGCCAGTGGCCCTGAAAAAAAATTATAAACTGGCGCCTCTCTTCTGAGGAGTATCCTGGTCAAATCCAAGAGGAGTCCTCTTCCCTGCCGCACTGTCTGTCACACAGGAAGAAAAGCAGCAAGCCTCCTCCCAGGCAGCTGCAAACTGTAGAACAAAGTCTCCAACCTTGAATCCAGTGCAGTCCTTGCTGTAATTTCCAGAGGCCGCTGTTGCAGCTAACACCACCTGATTAGTTAGGCAGCCGCTCACTGTTTTTCTTGGAAAATTTAATGACTATGTCCAATGTATTGTGAGTTTTTCCAAGTACAGTGGTTAAAATGGCTTTGTCGTGACCATCGAGTATAGGTTACTATGTGTAGAGTTTTTTGTGAGAGAGAAGACAAATATCCCCCAATATAAGTTTTTGCAATTTATTATCAAAAAACTGGTTTTACATGGCACTATAGACCTCCTCTCTCCGGCTCAGAGACAAAAGGCTGCTGCACCCAGGCAGTAAACATTTTTTTATTATGTTTGATAAGGATAATGTTAACATGATTGGTCGAAACAGTTTAGGGTGGCCTTAGGTCTGATGTCGGCTCACATTTCTTTTTCTGCAATTTTCTGAGCATCTCCTTATTTGGAGATGCCACCTCAAGTGGCTTTCGGCCAGACTTGAAGAGAAAGAGAGAAAGAGCTTCTCCAATCCCAAAATTTATGACCATGTTTACCTTCTGGTGCCTTCACTAGTGAGACAGACCCTAACCTGCAAATTCGTTAGAGAAGGGAGCTCCTCTCTATTTATGTCTGTTAGTATCTGAGTGTAGCAATCTACTTCTAATACTACTCTACAATGATTAAGTATGTGCAATAAAGTATAAAACACAAATATGTGAAGCTAATTATGAGATATTTATTATTTATATTTATTGAGTCTGTTGGCATCATGAAAAGTTTATGAAAGACTCCACAAAGCTGGGGGCACGGGCCGTGAGCACACAGGGACTCACCTTACTTAGACTTGCCTGAGTGGAGTCTTCTCATTTGTCTTTAAACCTGGGCATGAGTGAAAGTGATAGGTGGGGGAGGGGTCTCAGGACTTTCACAGGAGGCTATGGTGCAAGGTGGAGAGAGGGAGAGTGTAGTGTACCTGTGGATTGTAGGCTGGCTACAGGTAAGTCAGAAGGGGTAAGCATTCACTGCAGTGTCAAATCTGTTGAAAAACACATTCAAATCTCTGGCTCTGTCCTCACGCAGATCTATACAAAATCTGCCATAAAATCCTCATAGATCAATATCTTTTCTGCTTCACCTAATAAAGTTGACCCCTTATCAAATAATAAAACATTCAGTCAGTATTTCAGGATTTTAACTGTTTAAATGCCAGTTTCATTATTTGAATTGTCAATTATTTATTTTGAAAAATAATTATTATTATTTTCCATATAATAAAAAGTAGGAGGATGGAGCATGTGTCTTTTTTCTCTTTTCTTTTGGTAATTTATTGATGTAATGACCTTGTCCTCTTTCCACTAAAGATTTTTCTTAACTGGAAGTGACATGAGCTGCCTGAACAAACATGTAAATGAATGACAAGCACAATGGTAAACAAATCACATAAAAATTGCAGAACAACTCTGTGTGTGCCAGCAGTGTGCTATAACTTTGTTTAATACTTATCGATATAAATATTAAATATTTTAGTATACTTATATTTATACCCAACAGTTGAAAACAGACATAAATCTGAATAATTGATTTTGTGTGTGTGTGTGTGTGTGTGTGTGTGTGTGTGTGTGTGTGTGTGTGTGTGTGTGTGT